TAGTAGTAGTAGTAGTAGTAGTAGTAGTCGTCGTAGTCGTAGTCGTAGTCGTAGTGGTAGTCGTAGTCGTAGTCGTAGTCGTAGTCGTAGTCGTAGTAGTCGTCGTAGTCGTCGGAGTCGTCGTAGTAGTCGTAGTCGTAGTAGTAGTAGTAGTAGTAGTAGTAGTAGTAGTAGTAGCAGTAGTAGTAGTAGTAGTAGTAGTAGTAGTAGTAGTAGTAGTAGTAGTAGTAGTAGTAGTAGTAGTAGTAGTAGTCGTAGTAGTCGTAGTAGCAGTAGTTGTAGTGTTAGTAATAGTAGAGAGATAGCGGCGAGCGGGGGGTATCATGATAGGGGCAACGCTCTTGGAGGTCCGCGCAATTTTCGTGGAGCTGCGCTGGACACCCCCTCCGCAACGCGCGGGGCGCGCTAATGGCGGCGCTGGCGGCGCCGCCGGGGGATCCACCGCCGATCCAACCGCGCGGACCTCTGACAGTCGGCCGCGAGCGAGGGAGGGAAGTGAGAAGGAGAAGGCCTTCTCAGAAGGTTCGGAAGTCCCCAGGCCTTCTGAGAAGTTTTCTGAGCGTTCCCCGAAGACAGAGACAACTTCTCAAAAGGCGCGAGTGTTTCTAAGAAGTCCCGCCGCCTTCTGAGAAGGCCTTCTCCTTCTCACTTCCCCCCTCGCTCGCCGCCGAGACAGACTAGATCGATCGATGAAGCTAGGTGTTTTGTCGCGGCGGAGCCTCGGCTTCACATCGAGCTCTCCTCCGCTGTGACCGCGCCCGCGCGCGCCTGCTGGCAGGAGCCCCCACAGCTGCCGCGCGGCAGCAGAGGCGCGGCAGGACGAGCAGGAAGAGGAGGAGGAAGAGGAGGAGGAGGAGGAGGAAGAGAAAGAGGAGGAGGAGGAGGAGGAGGAGGGGGAGCAGGAGGAGGAGGAGGAGGAGGAGGACGAGGAGGAGTGGAGGAGGAGGAGGAGGAGGAGGAGGAGGAGGAGGAGGAGGAGGAGGAGGAGGAAGAGAAAGAGGAGGAGGAGCAGGAGGAGGAGGAGGAGCCAAGCTCGCCAGGTCGAGCGAGTCAGGGGGCCCCGCCTGTGCCCATCCACCCTCCCACCACACAAAGCACCAACTTCCGAGGGCGCGCAGACTCCTCCTCCTCTTTCTCTTTCTCTTGCAGGCGCGGCGGGGAACAGGAGGAGGAGGAAGAGGAGGAGGAGGAGGAGGAGGAGGAGGAAGAGGAGGAGGAGGATCATAAGCGATCCATGGCTCTGGCGCGCGGTCGCCGAATCCATGGATCGGGCGAGGCCGCCCTCCCCACAGTGCGGCCGGTGCCGCCTCGCTCGGCGGCGGCAATCCGCGATGTCCCATGGGGCCGGGGCCCGTCGCTGGTCCACGCCCCCCTGGATCCACGTCTGCGATCGCCCGACAGCTGTGGCACGGCTTGGCTCTGGGAGATTGGAGCCCGTTCCCACGTCGTAACGGAAGGTGCTCGCGCGCGGCCCCGCTTCTGACGCCTCGGCGAAGGGTTGGGTCGGGCGTGTCCCCCTAGAGGCGGATTTTGGACGAAAGATAATGGAACACTACACCAGACATGCTCAAGCATAGTCAACAAATCGTCAAGACATCGTTCCCAGACAATGTTTCTTAAACTATTTTTGAGTTCTCCTCCTCTAGAGGGACAGGCCCGACTTAAGCGAAGGGGACATCACGCGGGGCCGACTTCCGATGGGCGCGGCGAGGACAAAGCACGCCCCGCGCAGACACAGCACTCCCACATTCACTTGCAAGCTGCGCGGCGCTTCGGCGGGGTCGGCAGTTCGCCCGCTCTCGCGCGGCCCCGCTGCCACTGTTCGGCGGAGGAACGTCCAGGTGGAGACCTTGATCGTGTATTGACACTTTTTGCCAGGTAGGATGGGATCCCCCGGATGGGGCTCCTGCCGGCCGCCTATGTGGCAGAGTGGGGCTATTGCCAATAAGGACAGGAACCAGTCGCGGATGCAATCTGTGCCGATCTAAGATAAGGCCGGTGCATAAGACCCTTGCTGCTGCCCCCCTGCTCGGGACAGTGGGGGGTGACCCCACGGAGGGGGAGACGGAGGAGGATGTAGGAGGCGAGGGAGGCAGAGGAAGAGAGGGATAATTGGGAGGAGGCGGAGAAGACCACTTCTTCTCTTTTACACTACTCCTTGCCTTCTTCATTCCGCAGCAGCCGCAGGTGGTATGTCTGCTATCATCGCGCACGCTCTCGTTTTGTTCACAGAGCGTGTAGAAGTGACGATTCTTGATCGCCTGGAGCAGGAGGAGCAGGAGGAGCAGGCGGAGGGTGGGGAGCAGGACCAGCAGGATGAGCAAGAGCCTGGAGCAGGAGGAGCAGGATCGCGTCGATCGGGTAACTGGAAAAGGAGCATGATCACGAGGAGCAGGAGGAGGATCATGATGTCGATGAGGCGCAGGAGGAGGACGGCCCCTGGCGGTCTTTGTGAAGCTATATAAAAGGGGGCTCTGCGGCTTTGGGGGGCTCGTGTGGTTCATGCTTAGACGGGAGGGGGGAGGGGTGAAGGGGAGAATGGAAAGGGTAAGAAGATACTGGCAATCTTGAGAGGCGAGCAGGCGGAAGAAAGCCAGAGTACCGTCGATCGCACGTAGGGTCAGCTGTTGTGTCAGCTGAGCTACAAGCTGCCGAATGGAAACGTCTCGGCCTGGGAAGACACAGAAATCCTAAGATCTACGTGCGTCCTGCGCTCGCGGGGGGCATCCTGACTGATGCACAGCCGCTGGATATGGCAAGACGCTAGACAAATTACGCGCCAGCCGGGAGAGCACGACGGCGGTGAAGGGGCATACAAACAAGGATGTATTGGGAACTGCGCTTATGATGGTCGTAATACTCATGCGGTTGAAGATGCTGATGAAGACGATGCGGATGGTGATGGCGATGATGAGGATGAGGATGAGGATGCTGATAGTGACGACGGTAACGATGATAATGATGCTGTCGGTGGCGACGAGAGGAGGAGGAGGAGAAAGAGGAGGAGGAGGACGAGGAGGAGGAGGAGAACGAGGAGGAGGAGGAGGAGAAGGAGGAGGAGGACGAGAAGGAGAAGGAGGAGGAGGAGGAGGAGGAGGAGGAGGGGGAGGAGGAGGGGGAGGAGGAGGAGGAGGAGGAGGAGGAGGAGGAGGAGGAGGAAGAGGAGGAGGGAGGGAGGCCGTCGGCGCCTCTCGCGACACCCGCCCGCCGAAATGTCGACAGCGCCGATGCCGACTGGCGACTGCGAAGGTCAGCACTGGGCGCAGCATGGCCGTGAGCCTGGCACTGGCGGACGGCGAGAGACGGCGCAAGCTGCGGAGCGTGGCGCGACACCAGCCCGGCGAGCACCCGCCCGTCTTTTCGAGGTGTCCTCTCATGAGGTGGAAGGGCTCCGAAGAGCGCGGCCCACCTCCTCGTCGTCGTCGTCGTCGTTGTCCTTGTAGTCGTCGTCGTCGTCGGCGGCGGCGGCGGCGTCGGCGTCGGCGTCGGCGTCGTCGTCGTCGTCGTCGGCATCCTATGCCCACAAGGTTTTCCACCTCATGGTGGCCGCGCGTGACAGGGGGGTGGCGTGAGAGGGGGCAGCCCTCTGAGGAGGCAGGAGGTGCATCCCAGAGCACCCCTTACGAGACCTCCTCGTTCTCCTCCTCAACCTCCCCCTTGCCCCCCCAGCGCCCGGAGGGGTGCCTGGGTGCGTGGGCGGCACATCGGGGCCCTGGGGGAACCAAAACCCGCTCAGTCGTCCTTCGGGGCGCCGCGGTGGGTAAGGTCGGGTCCTGGGGTGTCGGGCTGTCCCGCTTGGCCGCTCGGGCCAGGAGGGGCAACGTGACCCTCAGGGCACGGCCTCACCTGCCGCAAAAAACCACCAACTAGCGGGTGGTGGTGGGTGCTGTTCGCTAAACGCCAGGGGTCCTGTCCGCCCCAGGGTCAGTCTCAGCATTCGGGTCACCTCGCACCACAGTGGTCGGGGGAGGCTCACGGATGCGTGCCACCTGGTCCCCCTTGGGCAAGGGGACCTGCAGGGGTGGTTCTGGGCTTCACGAAGTCTCGCGCCAAGTGGCCCGCCTGTGCGGCCGAGGGAGTTCCAGGGTCCCGACCGCAGAGGCAGGGAGAGGCTTGGGTCGGCACCTGTGTGTGTTGTTATCTGTGTAAGCCGTGCGGAGGGACTCGCCTGCGGCCCTGCGTTGCTCTAGGGTGAACGCTCAACTCGTTTTTTGTTTTTATGGAGCGAGGCTGTCAGTGGTGTGGGCGATCCGCTTTGCTGTCGGGTTGTACGTTGATCGCTGTGCGTTAGTACCTCATTGAGCTCCCTTCATTTCAGCTTAGTATCCATACAACGGCACACTTTTCTGGCCGCTCGTTGGAACGTTTCGGGGCTGTCATCGTGCCCAACCGCTCTCAGTCATAGGTGAACTATGTGGCCGCGCACTCGAGCGTCCCCTGCTCGTGTGCGCTGTTGTTCGATGAATGTTTCGCTACGCGAAGGCTGTAATTCCTGTAACTCCCCCTGCACACCCCAGAAGCGGTGGTCGCTTTCCTGAAGTTTGAATGTGAAGCGTGCCCAGGCTTGACCTGTTCTCCACGGGTTCCCAAACCTAATCTTCCTCCTCTTCCTCCTCCTCCTCCTCTTTCTCCTCCTCCTCCTCCTCCTCCCCCTCCTCCTCCTCCCTCCTCCTCCTCCTCCTCCTCCTCCCTCCTCCGCCTCCTCCTCTCCCCTCCCCTCCTCCTCCTCCTCTCTCCTCCTCCTCATCCTCTCCTCCTCCTCCTCCCTCCTCCTCCTCCTCCTCCTCCTCCTCCTCCTCCTCCTCCTCCTCCTCCTCCTCCTCCTCCTCCTCCTGTCGCCACTCTTGAAGGCTGCTGGGGGGGGTCCCGCGGAGTGCCCAGGGGGCTCCCCAAGTGGCGCGAGAAGCTGGCACGACACCCTGGGTCAGGTACCACTTCTGGCAGCACCCCAGAAGTGTCAAGGAGCCTGTGGGTGCCGACGACGAGGAGGACCAGCACGACGACGACGAGGATGATGAGGACGGCGAGGACGAGCACGACGTCGACGACGATGAGGACGACAACGAGGACGATGAGACGGACCGTGTCCTTCGGAGCCCCTCCGTGAGCGTCAGCAGCAGAGTCACCCGCGCCGTCCCGGGGGTGTCGTCCGCAAGCTCGCCGCGCGGGGTGTGCGTGTGTGTTCCTCCGCCTGCGCCGTCACCACTCCTGCCCCGGCCCGAGGCCTCAGGCAGGACCCGCCGCCACCGAACCAGGATACAATACAGTCGGACCTGAGACAGAAGAGAACATCCTTGAAGAACGTGGGACCCTCCGCCGACCAACGAAACATAGAACATCCAAAGGTATCCTCCCCAGGATTCACATGAACATCCAGACAAACACGAAGAACATGAGGGCACCCTCCCCGAGCCGACCCGGATCTCATACCTCGGTCCGACCGTAGACACGCACGATACGACATCCTGCTACGAGAAATCGCAGGGCACCTTCTTCGTCGGTTTTTGAGGGTCCTAGGGTTAGGTCGGGAATGTACCCCTACAAGCGGATTTTGGGCGAAGCATAAAACATATTCAAAAATACCCCCCAAAAGTCAAACATAGCAAAAAAATCGTCACCTGACAATTTTGTGGACTATTGTTTTAGTCTTCCTCCTGTAGAGGGACATGCCCGACTGAATCCTAGCGTGCCCCAAAGCTCATGTGGGTCCCTGGGGCCACCAGAAGATAAAACATTTCCACGGGGCGCCTGCCGGCGAGCCGGTGTCTTAGTCGATTGCGCCTCCTGCGACGGACCAATCGGCACGTGCGCAGGACCGGGATGCGTCGGCACAGCGCCGCACGATCTCGAGTCGCACTCGCTGCGCCAAGATGCACCGCAACGCCATGCAAGCATCGGGCTGCACCGCATCGTTGGGATATCAGGGCCGAGCCAGATCGACCTGACCAGAATCGGTGTCGAATCGAACTGGATGGATCGAAGTGGGCCCTCTTAGGTGCACCCCGCGACCAGGACCCCCCACGTTTATATTTGTTTGGCTATTTCACCGCGCGGGCCCCTGGCGACCTCGAACCCTGCCCTGGGGCTGGCACTCTATCCCGATTCATTTTTTGTTTGGCTTTCTTTTTGTTGGGCGACATGGGTACGTAGAATTTGGGTACGATGCCCGATGCCCAACAAGGGGCGAACTACAGTCGTGGCTATCGTGCTGCACCGAAAAAGCACGCCTCGGACCACAACGCCTAAGCGGAGGAGGAGGGGGAGGAAGAAGAGCCGTTTCCGGCCCTTTCCTGCCGCCAACTGCGCCCCGCACGCGCGCTGCGCGCGCGCGGGGCCCGTGGCGCCTTCGCCGTGCGCCAGGCCGTCCTTCTCCAGGTTGGCCTTCAACACGGCTTGGCGCCCTCCTCCTCTTTCTTCTCTGGTCTCCGCCGCTTGCCCCCTGTGGGTAGCGGCGAGGAGGCAGGCCACATTGTCAGTTTCGCCCACAAACACCACTTGTGCCCCCCGCGGCCAGCGTCCTCGGTCCTTCGGCGCCTCCTGGCTTTGCTGCACTCTCAGTGTGCTGCTTGCCGTCGTCTGCGTTCGCGAGCTCCCTTTCTCGGCGTCTGCCTGCAGCACTGGAGGTTGTGAGCGTTCTTGCTCCACCTCCACTTGGGGCCCGCTCTTGCGCGCCTCCCCGAACCTCTCCTGCTTTGTGCTGCCGCGGCCTCCCGTTTGAACCGCGCTCTCTCCTGCCAGCTCTAGGGGTCGCGAGCGTCCCTGCTCCGCCCCTGCTCGGGGACGCTCTGGCGTGCCTCCCCGGGCCCCTCCTGTGGTGTCTCTTCTCTTCTCGCCGCCTCCTCTGCCTCTTGCTGTGCCTGGCCGCGGGGTGGCTCTTCTGGTCTGCTTCGCCCAGAGACGCCACTTGTGCCACCCGCGGTCAGCGTCATCGGGTCCTTTGGCATCGACTCGCTTTTCTGCACTCTCTGCGCTCCGCTTGCCGTCTTCTGCGTTCGCGTGCCTCCTTGCTCCACCCTCGCTCTGGGCCCGCTCTGGCGTGTCTCCCCTGGCCCCTCCTCTGACGGTTGGGGTCTGCTCTCGGCAACGTTGGCAGCGCTGGAGTTCGCGAGCGTCCTTGCTCCACCTCCACTCGACGCCCGCTCTTGCGCGCCTCCCCGAGCCCCTCCTTCTTCGCGCTGCCGCAGCCGCCCTGTCGTGCTGCGCTCTCCTCTGCCAGCTCCAAGGTTCGCGAGCGCCCTTGCTCCTCCCCTGCTCGGGGCTCGCTCTGGCGTGCCTCCCCGAGCCCCATCCTGCGGCTGGCTGTTACGCGGTGCTGTCGTCCTCTCGCTCCGAGCTGCCTCTTCGCCAGGCAGCTTCTACTCCGCGCTCTTCTCCTCGGCGAGCCTCTCTCTTCCTCTCCCGTGCACAGCTTGGTTCAGCCATCCTTTCAGGCGGTAGTGGCCGCTCGCGCCGGCGGTGTGGCCGCGGCGCGGAGGCCCCCTCAGCTTGGTGGCTATTATCTCCGTCGTAGCTCCGCCGCAGTTCTCGCAGAACCAGCGGTTGTGCTCCTTCGGCCACCTCGGTCTGTGCGTCTCGAGCGACTCCGCGCCGTACTTGGTGGCCGTCAGCGCCGTCGGAGGGGGTGGCCCGTTGCAGGGTCGCGCCGGCCAGTCCATGGTCTCCTTCGCCGCCGTCGTGGAGCTGACTGCTTCCCAACGGCTCTGGCATGCCAGGCCCGTGCCTCTTCTGTCGCGCATCAGGGTGTGCTGGATGATCGGCCTTCTCGCGTCGTCCGAGCACAGTAGGTCCTTCTTCTTGCGCGCGTCTTGCCTCCTCTGTTTGATCAGCTTCCTCCTCGCTTCCTCTAGCTCGCGCCCTTCAGGTGGTCTCCTGGCGAGCGCGTCTGCGGCTGCGTCGGAGATTCTCACCCGTGCTAGGTGTGCCGCTTCGCGGATTTATTCGTGCGAACTTATCCCCGTGTCGTTGATTGCGCGTAGCTTCGCGCCCGCTTCAGCGCGCTCGTCCGCCGCCTTGTTTCCGGCCCAGGCTCCCTCGGAATGCCTTTTGCCCATGCCTCAAGCTCGGGCGTGTGGGTGTTGAGGTGGAACATTATGACGTCGTCTCCGCTACCTCCCCCCTCTCGCAGCGCCGGCCCGACCTGGTGCCAGAGGTCCCCGCTCAAGCAACCCATGCCCGTGGTCTCCTCTCTCCTGGTAGTCCAGCCCACGCGCGTGCCCTCGCTGTTTGTCCAGAAATCGACCTTGCCCTCAGTGGCCCTCAGTGGCGCTGAGGAAGCTGAGGCAGCTGAACAGCTCGGCTCTGTTGTTGGTCTGGCGCGGCTCAGGCAGCGGCCCGAAGCGCGCTCCGATGATCTCCCCTTGTGCGGGGGGTGTCCGAGCAGAACCCAGCCCCGTCCGCGTCTGCAGAACCTCGCGTCCGCGCTGTGCTCGCCTCCTGGGCCGTCTCCGTTTTCCGCGAGTGCTTCTCCTTCTTCGTCCTGCAGCCTGCCCTGGTTGATGCAGGCGCCAGCAGTGGACTCCTGGTGCGGCGCGTCGCATCTGGGTGAGGTTGTCCAGGCATGTGGCGCGATGCCTCTGAGCCAGAACGAGGGGGACTCCAGCATGCCAGCGAACGCGCCTTCTGACGAGGCCTTCGCTTTTTCCCGCCGCTTCACTGTCTGCCCTGGCTGTGCACCTGCCCCAGATCCTGTGCGCATCGCCCTGTGGATGTCCGCGCTCACCGAAAGCTTCGTATCTCCTCCTCCTTGTCCCTGTGCCTGCGCAAGCAGCCGTGGGGGGCGCGCGCCGTGGTGCTCCTTCTTGGCCAGCGCGCGCAGGTGCTTCGCCAGGTCGGGCGCGCCCACGCCTCGCTCGACTCCAGCGCCGTCGTGGTGATGGGAGGCCTGCTCCCAGAGCAGCACCTGCGCATGTCCTCTGGGAATGTCTCGACTATCTCCGTGTAGTCGCCGCCCAAATCCTCGCCGCCGAACTTTCCGTAGTCGCCTCTCTCGTCGACTCAGATGTTTGGCCCTCGGTCCTAACCCACGTCCCAAAGCAGTGGTCTCAGCCTGCCACCTCCTCTTGGCTTCCAGATTGTGCAAGCGTAAGTAAATCCCTGACCGCGCCCTCCGGACCTGGTCCCTCATATCTGCGCTTCTTGCCCAGACGTCGAACCGCTTCACGTCTTCAGCTGCGCCTTCAACGTCGTGCTCGCTGGGTCTTCGCCTTCCAGCGCCACGAAGGTGGTGGTGCACCTGCGTGGCATTGGCCTCCTCTTTGCCTGGGCGCGCCTTCTCCTCGCTTTAGCCCTGGCCCAAGCCACGCGCCGCGGCCCCGCGCGTGTCGGGCGCGACGGGGCCCTGACGGACCACTCCGCGCCTCTTCCTCGGCCTCGACCTCATGAGCTTCGCGCCTGTGGCCTCGCACCTCTTGTAGGCTCTTGCCGCGCGTGTCCTGTGTGTGCAGCGCTGCCGCGTTCCTCTCGCTCCTCGGGTCCCCATGTCGCGTCCTTCCGACGCCGCCTGCGCCGCCGTTTCGTTTTTTTTTGTTTGTTGTTCCTTTCTTTTTTTTGTTGTTTCTCATTCTTTTTTTCTTTTTGCCTCCAGCGCTCTTGCGCCGTGAGCGCAATCTTGAAGCGGCTGGTGAAGATGACCGTCTCGTCCGCGGGTGAGAGCCCTTGGCTCCTCATGCCCTCCCTCGGTGCCTCCGCGGCGTTCGTCAGCTCGCCCCCTACTGCCTGCGCTCTTCCCGCGATCCTGATGTCGACAATGTCGAACCACGCCCTCGGTCGGCATCGGCATGGGGAGGGCTTGCGAGGACTCGGTCACCTTACCTTGCCTAGGATCGTAGGCCACGGTCTTCGCCAGGTTGTTGGAGTGCCTCGTGCCGGCCAGCAGCGACCTGTCTGCCCAGAGGGGCAGCGAGGAGGCGCCGCGCCTCTTCAGCACCCTTGCCGCCGAGTGCTGCAGGGGCAGCATGGCGAGCAGGCGTGCTCTGAAGTCCATCCTGGGCCCTGCCTCGACCGCGAAGTCCAGCTGGAGGCTATCGTAGAACTTCTCGATGTCTGCGAGCAGGCCCCCGTGGAACATCTGCAGCACCTCGCAACGTTCGTCTCCTATCGCGCGTCTCATCGCCTCTCGTGGGCAGCTGCTGCCTGCCGCCGCTGCGTCCCAGCCCTTCTCCTGCGCTCTGGCCCAGCGCCTGACCCCCTGGACGGCGCAGGAGTTCCCGGCATCTCACCACCTGCG